AGGATCTTCCTGACAATGTAAGGTTAGTGGAAACCAAAGGTTAGTGCATATATTTCAGTGGGGAATTTTGGGGTGTTTTTTAAAAGACAGATGAGCATTGCAACAGAGCACCCTCTCGTTTGAGAATATTCTGATGGGTGGCTTACCCTTTGAACTACTGCTTGAAATCTGCCCCAGAGCAGAGAAAATATTTTTTTCTGAGAAATGCTAATAATTTTGGGGGGAATATTTTTTCTGAGAAAAAATTTTCTTCTGTTTCACAGAAGAGAACATGTCTGAGGGGCTCCAAGCGCACTGAACCTCCAAGCCTTAATAAAAATGCTGAGCTGCAGGACTGAAAACGACCACAGAAATAAAAAAGGCCAACATTTGTCATAGAAAGACACTAATTTTATCATAAGAGCAGAAGTCTATGAAACAAGTAAATGGAAGAAACAGACAGTAACTAGTAAAAAGTTTGCCAGAAAAATAATCCCATTTTTTGGAGGAAATAATGTAGCACCATGAAAGACAGTAAAGACAATAAGCAAGAAAATGGAAGAAAAAAGATATTTAAATATTTTCAAGTAAGAAACTGTTTGACTTTAATTTTATCATTCATATTTAGATTAGCAAAATGAAGTGTTTACATGACCAACTGATAAACAAGTTTGTCTTCTAAGATTTTTTTTTTAACCTTCGAAACAACCGAGATTTTAAAACATTTTAAAAAATATTGATATCTTCTCTGTGAATGTCATTCATCTATACAGGGACTTTACATCTCAGTGTATAATGTAACTCTTAATTCCTTTATAAAAGTGAATTTATCTTTTCATGAGACCTAACTGCCCCAATATTCTTAATTGCTGATCTAAATATTTTCTGTCATTTTCTGCCCAATGGACAAATCTGTTGAACTCGTTATAAAGGGGTTTTTCATACACTTGCAGTCACCTTAAACAAAAAGGCCTGACAGGAGACAATGATGTTGAAAACAAGTAAGTTTCATAATTGGCTGAAAGTTTATACTTGATTTTTCTCCCACAGGAGCACAAGGGGTCCTTATTAAAAACATAATAAAGGTAAGGATGAGTTCTTTGTTTGGTACAGTGGAATATGATGACAAATTAAAGAGTTGTTCAAACAGATCAGATTTAGGAAGGCCAACAGCCAAATCAAACATTGAGGGCTGGTAACATGGATGGGAACTGCACATTATCATGCCTCTGGGGATGATGGATTCAGATTATAATTCTTGCACTCAGTTCTGTATCTGGGAAGACCTTCTATGCCAACAAACTGATTGTAGCTATAACTTTCCTTATTGCCCCGCTACAACACCTTTAGGTATTACTTCTGTTAGTAGAAACAAAGCAGTCCACTGCTTACAGGAAAAATATTAAAGGATAAAGATAAAAGGAAAAGGACAAACTTATTACAATTTTGTATATACAACACTACAGCTACTTTAGCTGCTTCAGTTTCAGGAGACTGGTGAGAATTTCATGTTATCCATAAAAATCAGCCTCCCAACAGCTCTGCAAATTAGCATTAAATCAATGGGATGTGTATTAGCAGCAGTGATATCTATGATCTGCAATACCTTACAGGCAGGAAATGAAGTGCACAGCACACACCCTGACGGCAGGGGGTTTGGACTAGAAGACCTTTAAACTCCCCTTCCAACCCAAATCATTCTGTGATTCTGTAATTGTGTTAAAAAAAAAATTAGTTTGTAGAACAGGTAGCACAGTTAGGCGCTAATGCCTTGCATAGCTGTGCCTCCCACGGTGTTAGGCAAGGAATTTAAATTCTGCAGTTGTATATATATTTTTCCACCTTTCATCTGGCTTCTCTATTTGGATAACAGGCTAAAAGAGACAAGGCTCTCTTATGTACCTTCTCAATACATAGTTGTTCAAGGTAGATTCATCTTACTTGGATACTACTATTTAAAATGTCACAATATATGGGAAGAGGATTATACAGAGAGACATGGAAACTCTTGCTCTAGGAACAAAAAAGAGTACTTCAAACAAGAGCAGCCTCATCATGCTATCATGCCTGCATATATCTAAACCTCATCAGGATGTGGTACAAGTGTAGTGTAACTGTGTATATACAAATAAAAGCAAATGTGATTATCACTCAGGCTTCAGACTTCATCATATGAAGATGTCCATTACATGTGTTTCATTTCTTTTCTTCACATAAAATTCCATTCCTACATAATAGTAGCTAATTTAGGGCCTAACTTCACGGTAATGTAGTTACAGGGGTTTTTTCTGTTCATTGGTTTGCATTTGCTTGTTGTTGAATTTCCTCTTTTATTTTATTATGCAGTATTTTCTGCCTTAAGATCTCCTGAAGCTTTTGTTTCAGCTTTTCAGACTGAATTTTTATTATAAGAATACTCTACCTCAATCCTCACATCACCTTTTCAAAATTGTTTCTGCTGCTGAGTGCAGGTGTCAGCATGGATCCCTATGGGATTTCACCAGGATTTCTCCCATTAAAAATAAAAAAAAAATTTTAAAAGGCCTATTATTCTTGATTCTTGTGTTTTAACCTCTGACTTGTAATTTGTTCAGCAGAGGGAAAGAAAGATGATGAAGGGACTGGAGCATATATCTTACAAGGAAAGGATGAGGAAGCTGGGCCTGTTCAGCTTCCAGAAGAGATGACTGAGAAGGGATGTCATCAAAGCTTACAAAAGTCTAAGGGAAGGTGCCCAGGAGGATGGAACCAGGCTCTTCTCAGCCAAGGAGCAGGACAAGAGGCAATGGGCAGAGAGAGATGCACAGCAAGTTCTGCTTAATATAAGGAAGAACTTCTTTACTGTGCAGGTGACTGAGCACTGGAACAGATTGCCCAGGGAGGGTGTGGAGATAATGAAGAACTGTCTGAACACAATCCTGTTCCATGTGGTCTAGGATGACCCTGCCTGAGCAGAGAGGTGGGACCAGATGACCCATTGCGGTCCCTTGCAACCTGACCCATTCTGTGATTTTGTGAATTTGTGTCTCAAAGAATATTCGTTCTCATCTTATCTGAGAGTAGCTCCAAAAACTATTTCTTGAAATCTTTGTCCAAAAGGTCTTTGAGCTAAAATACACACATATTAACTTGATTATCCTTATCCATATATTACTTAGACAGAATAATTCAGAAGTCTCATCATGCATGAATTTCTTCTATTAAAACAAACAAACAAAAAAAAGGGGTGGTTCAACACTTCCCCCATTGCAATTTCTCTTTATTAAATTTTCTATTAAGTTCCTTCATATATAGATCAGACATATTGCTCTGTTCCTGTCAAATTCAGCCATTAATTTCTTTTAAAATATTTAGTTATCCTGCCATCTTCCATTCCTCTGATTCCAAGGTTGGATATCACATAGTTCATCAGTTGTGTGTTTTAGTTCCCTCAAAACTCTGGAGCATCTGCCATAAAATCCCATCCTTTATTTCTTTTTCTTTTTTTTTCCCCTTAAAAATTCTCTAAACATTTCCCAGTCAAAAATCAGCCCACAGATACATCTCCTGTTCCAGGCACAATTATGCAGTGCCTAATATGTACTAAAGAATCCTTCAATATAGGTCATGAAAGCTTTCCATATACTAAAGAAAGAAAAATTGTGGACAAATTAGACTATTTTCTCACATTAGCTGAGTTTGGGGAAAAAATTAAGCTTGAAAAGCTGAAAAAGTCTGAGAAGTCTGAAAAGCAGATCTGTGTAGGCAGCATTTTCATCATTTATGTCATGTTCACCTGAAGAATGGCCCACTGGCAGTGTGCCACATGCCTTAATGATCTGGCTGCCAACTTTATTCTTGGATACCAAATGCTCTCCATGGTTTGTTTCCAGATAGGTTCTTTCTTACACAGTAGAATGACAGGTGATATTTGATTGTAAAAGCCAAACATTCCAGTATCATACTAAAATTTGAAAAAGGAGCACATATTTGTCTTACAAACCTCTTTGAATGAATGGCACAAGAATTAAGAAATTATAACCTACCTTTCCACCTCATCATACAGGCAAGATGATTTTACAGGTAAGGTAACCCCTATTTTTTGCATCTTAAAGGAGGAAGGCTTGTACAAAGGTTCATATATCTCTAAGAGTAAGAGCTCTTTGATCATATATGATACATGATAAGAATTTGCTGTGAGATATTATTCTTTTTCAAATCTCTCCTTTTTCTTTTTAAGCAAACACAAAAAATCTGGAACCAATATATTTAGTTTCACAGCTGTGAATACTCTACTAAAACATACTTGAAATAAACTATTTGCAGTAGTCTTTGTTGAGAAATTATGCTTTATTCTTAAGCTTAGACAATCAGGAAAATGAGTATTCTTCTAAACATATTACTGTAACTGAGAACACAGACAATCTTAAAATAGCAACAATATAATAAACAATAGTGGTTTTAGTAATAGACTATATTTTTAAATGTCAGTAATGGTATTTTTAAATAAAAAGCTAGCAATGTACTCTAAATGTGTGCTATGAGGAACATAAGCATATAGCTGCCAGACAATCTCAATGACTGATTTCACTGTTGAGTTATGAAATCATTGTGTTTGATATTATTATACACATGCAATCCAGATCTGATACAGATCATGTTCAAGAAGAATTCCAAGCAACCTGAGCTCATCACGAACCCTAGGCAAAGCAGGGCTTATAGATAATTATTAAATAAATCTATGGATTATACCTAGTTTTTACAGTTTCTATAGTGTTATTCTTTGGTCATTGTGACAAAAGTGTGGTTAAGGTAGAACAGAAAACATTGGTTTTTTTCTTTTTCTCTAAACCATAGAGATATGCAAGAACGCACCCACATACCATTTTCAAACGGATGAGAACAAAATGTCATGTACAGGTTCTTCTTTCACATCTGTTCTACAATTGTTTTCTTAATGTTTGTTTCTATAGATCAACTCCTGATGTTCAAAATACTTGTTTTCTCGAGGACACAAGAAAACATATGACCAATCCTCCTACCTTTAGCAGGTAAGTTTGGCAGTCACTGACATAATCATACTCCAGCCCATCGAAGGTGTAATAGTGTCGGTCTCCATAAATGGTGCACACAGCAGGGCAGGGGTAACTGGTGCAGTTGAAGACACCTCTCCGACAAACACTGCAAGAAAAACCAACAGTCAGTATCTCCTCATAATGGCAGTCTTCTGCTGGATATTTTAAAGAAAATACTTTCTTGTGTTCTTTATTTCAAATCATACAGAAATTCAGGAATGGAATAAAATTCTCAGACCTTGACACAGAGAGCTATACTGTGAATTGCTTCAGAAGATACTGGTGATGCCATGGCAAGTACTGAACATTTTGCCATTAGCCCATCTGTACAATAAAAATGCATTAAAAATAAATGCAAAATCTCAAAGTTTGCAGGGTTTATGCAAATATTTCCATCACTGCCTCCGGTGTAGATAAGGCACAATGCCACAACATGCTCATTCATAAGACATCAGTAGTTTATTTTTTCTAAATTTTGATAAAGGTCTGCAAAATTTCAAAGAAAAATACCTCCAGTTGCTACCTGTAAGATTTCAGGATATCAGACAAATATGGAATGAGTTTGAGAAATTAATGCTGATATTTTGCAAGATTACTTTTCCTGTCAGCTACATTCAGTGGCTTACACAAATTTATATGAAAGTACTACTGGCATTCTCTATTTTTGCTTGTGTAAGTGTAAATCCTCAGTTGATTTGCAGTGTGGTATTAAACTGATTAAAAGTTGCCATGCCAATTTTTTCCCATTATTAAATATACACTTAACTGATTATAGATATTTTGGCTAGAAAATAAGCATCTCTCTCTCTTTTTCTCCTTGGTTGTCTTTCATTATATTCTATTCTGCAAAATGCCATGTCTTCATTTCAGAGACTAACAAATATGTGTGGAATTAAGCATTTGTTCTTGACTGTTTTTTAATTTGGATATCTTCAGCTTCCTTTTCAGATCTGAAAAGACATTCAGCCAAAGCCTTCCTACTTATCCAAGCCTATCAGTAAGCCTAATAAAAGATATATCCTCTAACTATCTATAAACAAGAATATATATTTTTGATTTTCAGAGTATACAACACATTTTCTGTATCAGTTTCACTTTGGGTCTAGATCCATTTGATTTTAAAGTATGCAGAATGAACTCACCAGGTGTAACAAGGAGTAGCTATCACTTCTCCTGACAGAAATTCTCTGTCTTTCCAGGTGCATGGACAACTGTCAGGAATATAACATTTCCCTCTGTGCTCAGCCATCCTTCAAAATAAAAAAAATTATTAAGATGAAAGAGTAAATCCAAAAGATCAATGTAACTGAATGTGTAGTGTATCGTTGAAACTCCACCAAGAGCAACAAGTTTTCCACCCAGCTAAGGAAAATTGTTTCATCAGCAAAAGCTGTCCAAATCAAATGATTTCCACTGTGCACAGCTGGGGACCTGGCCAAGCCCACAGCTGCAGCTCTCTCTCTATCTAGAAAGGGGTATGTTGGTGTGGGCTGCAGCTCCCATGCAGGAGTGTCAGTAGTACAGGTATTCCTCTCTGAAAACTGCGGAGCATCTGGGTATCATGTGAGCTGCTGAGGCTGCCGCCAGACTGCCCTTCCCTCTCTGCTGCTCTCTTGTCCTGCTGTGCCGGGAAAGCAACTGGACTGGAGTGCCTGCTCCTCTGCACAGACAGCACCTGTCCTGCTCTGAGTGCACAACAGGGAGCTGGCTGATGGCACCTGCCACACAGTTTATGAAGAGCAGTGGTGGAGGCTGCCTGCCTACACAAAGGAAGCTGAAACAACTAACTAGGTTGAGGCAAAACAGGCATTTAATGCAAAAAGTGTCAAATCTAATTAGATCAATAAGCGACCCAGATATATGGTTATGACACATTTGCTATCTCAATTCCACCTATTTAGCAATTTTAACTTTTGTAACAAAAACGTTACTGATATTCCTAGCGCTGTTCTTTAGGAGAGCAGTTCCTGGAGATGTCATGCAACACATGGCTCAAAGTACAACCTAGAGATTTTTTCACTGGAAGTTGAAAGGAATACACAGTTTTGTTTTCTTCATACCATTACTAGTTCATTAAACAGTAATCAGCTCTAAGAGTCAAGTGTTCAGAAAATTTCTCAAGGATAGGAAAATACCAGAACAGATGGCTTGGGAAGGCACTTAGTCTCTGTCAATAGAAGCTAAATGTCTCCCAAGAATAACATCGGTATTGCTGGTGCTGCCCAAAGGCAGGAGATTAATGTAGCCCCATGAAGTCCCTTTCCACACTACTCTTTGCATCTGCAACTCAGTTTAGACCCATATCTCCAACTCAGTGTGAGGTTGACTTTCAGTCTATCTTTGGTATCTTTGAATTTACTGTCATCCTCACCTCATTTCCTCATGAAAATTTGGGCTGTTATATTATTCAGCTTCTAAAGTATATCAGAGACTTCCAGTGTTTCTAATTCTTGGTCACCTCTTCAACTACTGACTAAAATAACAACAAACTGTTGTGCAAGAGCTTTAACAATATAAAATGTAAACCGTTTTTTACTTTAGGGAGACCATTCTTTTGCATACTAGAGCCCATCATATCATGGTTTCCCAAAGGAAAGGGTTTCAATACCACACACAAGCACTTTACTTTACAAGCACCATAAATGCCTAGAGTGCTAGAACAAGGTGTCAGTCTCCAGGGGAATTCAGGATTCCACTCCAAAAGCTTAGGTCATTCAGTCAAACAGTGGGTAGTAGTAGAAATAAGGTGGGAAAGGAGAACCAAGGAGAAGAAATGCAACTTAAGAAAATTAAAGAAACTACACTACAGTACAATGTCTCACATCAAGTTTTTAATGACTTATCCACTTAGATTTAATAGCAGGAGATAGATATATGTTCAACATTTTCCTGCATAAAAAAGAGACCTTTTGAAACTAATTTTTAAGATAATACAGCTGTCCCCTTCCAAGTTAAAAGCCATACTCACTTTTTGGAACCATGAGGCTGAAAGTCATAATTAAGTGCAATTTAACAATGAGGACATTATTAAATGGACTCTGTTATACACTTACTTTTCAACCTCATGGCAAAAAGACTGCTTATTCTCTTATGTAATAAAAATAATTCATGTGTTTTACTCTATTATTTGATAGAAAATTAGGATTTTGCTTGTCTGTACTCCTGTTATATCTCAGAAAATAATCAAGTAATACTCAATTTGAAACGGTATGACTGTGAAAACAAGGCTATAGCTGTTTTTTAAACTTCTATTTTAGAAAATTTCTTCAAATTTTCAAATGAACTTTCAAGTCAATACTGTTAGTTTAATTTCATGTAAATATCACAGTGATGTTTCAGTTTGTTACCAGTTTACTACTTTTACAGATTCATGCACTTTTTGTGCTAAAATAAAAACACTAATGGTCCTGGAAGCTAAGTTCTCAGTTGAGGCAGAGGTTTTAGAGGACTACAGAACACCACATAAGAGCTAGTGAAATCTTAAATAGCTCTGCCTGATATCTCTACCTTCACCAGTGCTCAGCCATTTGTGAACATCACAAGGTGCTGGAAGGGGAATCATGACAGTCTCATTTATACTCTGATCTGTGCACAACTGATACACTGTCAGGAGACCACCTGGCTACACACACAGTGAAACAAAATGGAAAGTTGAGAGAGAAAAAAGGGAGCACTCCACCTGAGATGAGAAGCAATTACAGCAATTTGCACAGTATATTTGACTCCTCCATCTGAAAATGAACACAGGAGGAGGAAATGGAAATGAATGGAACAAGTGGTGATTGATCCTGACACAAATAGAAGTTTTTAGAATTTATACTTGGATTTGACCCCGGCCAAGCTCAGCTGACTCTTTCTGGGCACCAAATCCAAACACACAAGCTGAGAAAACAAGAAAAAGACAGAGGGAATGAATGGAAATTGGGCAGAAACCAGTCCATACACCTGCCCTCCCTGCGTCTGACTGGGCATCAGCAATGTAAGCCTGAGTAGAAATTTAGGTGAGACAAAGACTTAGGCAGCAATAAGCAGGAGCACAAATGGTTTCCATCAAAATATTTTGTCATGTTTGCTTTTACATTCAAATAAACTAATTGTGCAAATGGTGGAAGTCATCTCCTGTCCCAAATATCAGCCAATTGGAATAGTAGCAAGCTGGATATCTGATGGCCTTTTAGCTGTTACTGTGTGTCTGTGACAATTTATAGAACAATAGTTTCAAAATTAGAAGTGTGATACCACTGGAATTTAACAAGAAAAAGAGTTGAATTGTGGAAAATATGCATTTGGCTTGTGCTTCAGGTTGGTCCATTAAAGCTTACCCAGGGGGGCAAATGCAGCCACTTGCACAGGGTGGTGAGGGGACACAGGAGAAGTTCATGGCAAGGTTCGCACAAGAGATCCCACAGTTCACACCCGCTGCTGGTAACCCAGGCACAGGAGATCTGCAGTCATAGTAGATTTTTCCTTCAGGGCATATGTGCACTTCAAATGCAAAATGAAGGTTAAATAAGATCAACTGCTCTTTTACACTGAAGGTTTTCTGTTTGGTTTTGTTCAAAATCTATTTATTGGGATACAAAAGGAGGTTACATTGTAGTTCATATAAGAATGCAATAGGAATAACAGTCGATGACGTAATCTATATTACAGACACATAAAATTAATATGGGTACTAATGTAAAAAAACCAATAATATTAAGCATCTGGATGTATGTGTCCAGGATCTCACACATAGTCCATTCTTAATGACAGAATCATTACACCTTAGGCATAAAAAACCCTTAGAAGTGCAACAATTTTCAAGGTACTTCTAAATACATTAGAAAAGCATTAAAAATTTGCTTTCTAGAAATCGAGATCTTAAAGCTTCCTAAACATAGACAGTGAGCCTAATTATAGGTATTCCCATGAGAACGCATTGACCTAGATGGCACATGCAATTATTTATTTCTTTTTAATTTTCAAAGTGACTGAGTAGCAGAATTTGCTACAGAAAAAGAGGGAAAGCCCCCCATGACTATTTGTGCTCCTAACCTCCTATTTTAAATATTTTGTGATATAAAGCATCTCATCATTTAAACACATATGAAGAGAAAACCAAATTAATACTCAATATCAAATTCTCTATTTGTGCAACTTTTATATGGAATAAAAGTGTAAATTACCTATGTTTTCTGTAGTGGCTTCAATACATTTCACTGTTCCATTCAAACATTGACTAGAAAAAAAAAGGAAACCCATGTTTATTCAAGGAAAAATGCTTTGTACTCACCCTGTTAAAAAATATTATACAATTCAACCTTATTTAAACAAAGAAATTAGGAAGAGAAAGAGGATTAAAATCCAAAAGCTTGAGTTCTGCCCAGTATTGTCTTGGTAGTTTCTAATTCCTGATCTGTAAAGAGGGCCTAAATTCATTGTTTATGTACTGTGTAATTTCCTAACTTCCACTGAAAGAAAAAAAAAGCTGAGTATGTCAACCCCTGTGAGAATGGAAGTCCAGGTGATTTAAGATACAGGCAGTATAACACAAAACCTTATCCACCATAGCTTAAAGAATTTTCCAGGTATTTTGTTAAAATAATCAGGTACATAATCCAATTTATTCTAGGCTCTCTTATTACTAAGTATGCAAAAAAAAAAAAAATCTTGATACAATAAACTTTCAATCTACATGAGAAAAATTCTCAAACCACTTCAAGATGTGTCCAAACTGTGATACAACAAAGATAAAACTCTTTCAGTCAAACCTACCAGGAGCCTGTTGGTGTAGGAAGGATTTCTCCAGGCTGCAGTGCTTTGCCTTTGTAATGACAATGACAGCCAGATCTGTTAAAAGAATATTCATGCATTTAGGTAAAAAAGCAAGATGAAATGGGATTTAAGGGCTCTCTATCAAGCTGTTATGATATGCAGGTCTCATCATAACATTAACTTAAATCATTAGCTCAATCCTTATATGTACAATATTCTTTGAAAGACAAAAAATTTAAAGATGATACTCAGACTGCATTGAAGTCAGTGGCAAAACTCATGTCATCTTCAGCAAAGCCAGGATTTTCCTCTATCTCTGTACTCTTTTTTTTTTTTTTCTTTTTTGCCGTTTATGTGCATTATTCTAATAGAAAGGACTTTTCCTTTTCAGTCATGGGAGTAGAATGAAAACATTCATTTCCCATTGAAAGTATTCTTAATATCATGAGGTAGATCATATTATCATAGCATGTTGTAGTGCGTTTTTATATTTTGTAATACTTTGAAGTAGTTTTGTTTTGTATTCCCATATTTTTCCAAAATGGTTTATCCCAAACCCCCCTCTCTTTACCTGTGTTATCCCTCTCCCAGGATGAGATCATCCCCAATCCCCCACCCTGGCTCTCTGTCAATCACTCAGCATCCCATCCCCTCCATCCAGAAGTTTTGGTCCAGGTCGTCGAGTGATCAGCCAGAGGCCAGGGGTCAGCCCCCCAAGCCTTGCCCCATATGCTGTCCTAGATGTCTGTCCCCCAGCACCCATCCCTTAGAGTTACTTATTGGTTGGTAAAATGTTATCTACTATCGGTTTCCACCTCCCTTTAAATGTGACCTTGGCACATCTCCCGGGGCTCTCTCGGCAGGAGGCCCCTGAGGTGCAGGAGCTCTTTTGGGACTCCTAAAAAAACCTTGGATTAACCCTTGCTAAGAGTCGGCCCTTTCTCTTCTACCGATGTCTCTGGTGTCTCTTGTGCTGCAAAGGCGCCCAGCCCAGGTGCCCTCAGCACCCTCGGGGCACACACAGACAGTGTCTCCCTGCTGTCAGCCCAGGTGCCCTCAGCACCCTCGGGGCACACACAGACAGTGTCTCCCTGCCAGCCCAGGTGCCCTCAGCACCCTCGGGGCACACACAGACAGTGTCTGCCTGCCAGCCCAGGTGCCCTCAGCACCCTCGGGGCACAGTGAGTGTCTCCCTGCTGTCAGCCCAGGTGCCCTCAGCACCCTCGGGGCACACACAGACAGTGTCTCCCTGCCAGCCCAGGTGCCCTCAGCACCCTCGGGGCACACACAGACAGTGTCTCCCTGCTGTCAGCCCAGGTGCCCTCAGCATCCTCGGGGCACACACAGACAGTGTCTCCCTGCTGTCAGCCCAGGTGCCCTCAGCATCCTCGGGGCACACACAGAGAGTGTCTCCCTGCCAGCCCAGTGCCCTCAGTACCCTCGGGGCACACACAGAGAGTGTCTCCCTGCCAGCCCAGGTGCCCTCAGTACCCTCGGGGCACACACAGACAGTGTCTCCCTGCTGCCAGCCCAGGTGCCCTCAGTACCCTCGGGGCACACACAGACAGTGTCTCCCTGCCAGCCCAGGTGCCCTCAGTACCCTCGGGGCACACACAGACAGTGTCTCCCTGCTGTCAGCCCAGGTGCCCTCAGCACCCTCGGGGCACACACAGACAGTGTCTCCCCGCTGTCGGCCGTGTCGGGGCTGCCCTCCCCAGTGTCTGCCGACTCGAGACTGGCCCAGGGTACTTGAGAGGCTCGCAGAGGGACCGAGACAATAGCAAAATCCATTAACTCCATGATAAGAGCCAGACAGGTTAGAAGTAGCAATAAAATTATCTAGAAATCATGAAACTTTTTCCTCTCACTGACTATTTCCTCCCATTTAACTGAAGAGCTTTGCATTGTGACACAGAAAAAAAACACTTCTAGCCACTCTTCCCATACCATTCCTTTCTTTATGGATTGTTGCTCTATAGATTCCTTCTCACTTTTTTTTTTAGTGCTAAAAACAAGGTTTTGATATGAAAATGCTATCCCATGAATTAAAAAGTTTCACTACCCTTCTCTAAACATTTTAAACAGATTAAATCTTTAATTAAACATAATTAAATATAATTAACATAATTAAATTTAATATTCTAAACAGAATATTAAATCTTTACATATTGTTTGTTACACAATTGTCAATATTTTTTGTTCTTTTCTAGGCAGTCTGCATCTTGAGGGAAACAGCAGAAAAGCTACTTTAAATCTTGCTGGAAAGAGGAAATTGTGTCCATACATATATTCTATTTTTTTACTACTTACATTGATACACAAAAGTTGACTGACTCTTCAAAATACTTCCCATCAGGACAATTACATCCTTCTGCACAGTCATCAGCACAGATACTTGCCATAGAAAGTGAAGCACAGGAATGTTTACAAAAAGAAGAACACTGATGATAAAGCATACCACTGTGACACATCACAGCTGGAGGAAAGAGAGGGAGAAATAAGGGAGAACAGCATACTGTTAAAATGTGAAAAATGGAAAACAAAGTATTGTATCATGGAAGTTCAAGAAAATCAAAGCAAAGTGGTCTCTTGTGGCACTGGGTTTAGTTGAAAAGCATGAGAAAAATATGCCATGTTACCAATTTCTGTAGTTAGATATATTAAGATTAAGGTGGGTTTTTGTTAAAACAATTTTTGACTGGAATCATCTGTTTTGTAAACAGTAGCTTTCTGTCCTTTCTATGTATCAAATTGGGCATCTATCTAGTAATTCAGGCTTCCAAACGGTCTAGCTAAAGCTGAGGCATTGCTATATGGCTTAGAAACAGAAATACAGCAGCTGGACTTCAATAACCCTTGTGGGTCCCTTCCAACTCACGATACTTTAAGATTCTGCGAAATGCTTTGTTTTAAATCATTACTGTATCAAACACCCTGTCCTGCCCAGGCTAGGGAGACCCTGCCAACCCCCCTTAGGGAATGGCTCCACTCCGGCCACTCCCTGACTCCTTTATCCTAATAGGGGCTTCCATATGACTTAGGGCTTCAAAGAAAGAATTCCATTTCTCTCTGTGAGCAATAGAAAGGGCAGACATTCCTATGAGGCAGCTCAGAGGCACCGACTCAGATACCTAATGTAAAGGCTGTTACCATTCTCCCCTAGTACATCATTACACCATGGCACAACTCTAGTTTCCAGGAAAAAGAAGCCAACCCTTATATTTTGTGGAGTGATTGAAATTTGCAGAGTTTTACACATTTCTAAAAGATATTCCATTATGGAAATGTTACTCACCACAGTAAGACACATGAGATCTGAAGTCAATGATGACACCATGCTTGCCACAGACATAAGCATAGTGTGCCAAAGCATTGCACAGGCAGCTGCTCCCACATTTGCACGCGTCGAAGCGGCAGAGCTGGTAGTACAGCCCTGGACTGATGTAGGCATGGCAGGGAGCAAACACCTCTTGGTTGATGATATCACAGTGAGATGCATACCCAGCTAAGAGAAGGTGACATTGTTTTAGCCAGGTCCATTTTAATATAACAGTCAGTCAAATCCATAGCGCGGAATATTAAAATCAAACATAGCCAGGTGTGCAATATAAACACTTGCATACAATCCTACAGTTTAAAATTGATATTGCAAGCAGCTCCCTCAATAGAGAACTCTATTTAAGATAAAAATAACTGTACTAAAACTCAATACTAAGTTATGCCTTCCTCTTATAACACAGGAAATTTAAATGGCAAAATAATATATTTCAAAAGAATACTTAGAGTCCCCCAAAGCTTGGAGTATGGTTTTCCTACTTGACATTCATTTAGCTTTAACATCAACAATGGCCATGTACTTCCTGGCATGTGGTCTCAGGAAGTATTACAAAGCAGAGCTTGAGGGCATGCAAATCCCAAACTGACCATACACCTTCTAGCAGCAACAAACTCTCCTCCTGCCCCCTGGCCACTGAAGCAGACTACCACCACAAGTGGTGGAATAGCTAAGGAACTCTGTGATGTGGATTATATTTAAGCCACTTTTGCTGCTAAAAGAATGCACCTCTCCTTCAAACTCCATGTCCATTTCCAAATACACATATTGACAGAATTTCAGATTTTTTGGACTCTCTTAGTAAACTAGATTCAAGGACTGAACTTAACAACTTAACTCAGTTGAAAATTAACCTGACAAAATAAGTAACCAAACAAACAATCTTTTTTTTTTTTCCTTTGTTGATCAGGTCACTATTATCTTAGACCTGGAAAAGATGCCTGTGCTTGTTGTATGGTGTGGATCACTTCACTCTCCACTGCTTTTTCACATTGAGTCTTAGAGGATCATAGTGAAATTCAGGCTGGAAAGGACCCTCAGAAAGTCATGCAGTCCACCCTCCTGCTCTAAGCAGCACACATTTATGTCAAACTCCACCTTCACTGAGCTAGCACAGAACTGAGGGTAAGGCATGAAGGCTCTGAGCTGATCTGGCTGAGAGATCTGGCTGTCTTGAGAAGACAGACACCAAGGAGGGTATAAAAACTCCTAGGATTCCCCACATTGTTTGAGATTTACTGTTATTCTAGCCTTGCTTCAACAGGCTTTAAATATAGATAAATCCCACATCCCTAGTGAGATCTGATGTCTGAAATGTTAAAAATATTAGACTACATTCTGTCAGAATTGGCAACTACAGTCTACCCATTGTCTTCATTAATTGAAAAGAACAGCAATGCAAAAAGGAGACAGTGAAAGTTCAACATAAACCATAGGCATGCCAACCAGCCAAAACTAAATCTTTCCCCAGGAATTTGAACAAATTCAAGGCTCTCAGATTGTCTGCAACAGTTTTTGTCAGAGAACATAGATGGAGGATAAAGAAATTTTTAGTGCAATAATCATGCAGAAGCCAGAGACAGGACGTTTGATCTCAACACTGTCTCCTGTACTTCCTTTAACAATCATGCATCAATCTTTCCTCTCAACTGGCATAATTTACAGGATCATAAATAGCTAAAAAACTGCATGTATAGTAATCAGCAGAATTTAGTGCCTATAGCCAGTACACCCAGCACTAAATTACCAACTAGCTTTTATTTATCAAGTACTAACTTCATTTTACATACAAAATGTATGGGAAAATGATCTTTGCTGATGCCAAAAAAAAAAAAAAAAAAGTGCACATCTAAACCTGAAGCTGAAATACATGTATGTGCAACTTTTTCACAGAGAAAAGAAAAACTGTCCCATAATAATAAGATACAGCTAAGTCCAGACTCCCCTGTGAAAATGTACCATTTTGCTGATTCACATTGCAGGGATCAACCACAGGAATATTGATAGGCATGGAGCAAGCTGAGGAAACCTTCCATGCATTGGCATGAAGTTGTGGGGTCCCTTCTATCATCCCTGCTGGAGATCTGAAAAAGAAAACATCAACACTGCAAGCATCCTGCTGACCTTAGGGTGTACATGGGTGGGGATGCAAGTTCAATAAAGAGGCTTAGATGTACAGACACATTGAAGAGTCAATGTGCCAAAAGAATTTCCATCTCTGAGGTATAAAAGAAGAGAGGGCATGTGAAACTTTTTCCTCAACATTTTATTCCTGTGAAAATGTCCCTACATTCTAGGTCTGCTGTGCAGACAAGTTTTGTGACATTATAGCTTGAGGAAATTTGGAGGAAATAAGGTTAAAAATAAGGAAATTATGCCCTTCTAATTAAAATATTCCTGTGGTTCAGAATTACATTTTTTTACATTAAAACTTGATGTGGGGAGGAAAATCAAGCAGTAGTAAGTGTCAGCCATGTGAGGATGATACAAGTATTATCACCCCCACTTTTTCTCAGTGCTCATATATTTGCTCTGAAGATAAGGGAGCAACAAGAAAGGGAAAAGTGCATTCAAATAAGATCATAATCCAGAAATTTCTACAAATAATGTGGTAGCTTTCCATAATTACTTTAAAAAACACCTTAAAATGCATAAGTTTTTGACTTTCATATTTATAAAAGTGACTACCATTTTAATTAGGACATTTTATATTGGTTAGTTTAATAAAGTTTGAGCATGTTAATGAAATTAAATTATCAGATGATTATGTTCTACAAAACTTTTCACTTGTTATTAAACACAATATAAATGCACAACATGAAACTTACAGAAAATCATCTCTTAAATTTCCATTGTAAGTTCCACATAGTCCTAATGTTCTTCTCTTCCATCTGACATCAACTTGAACATAGATCCTCTCTCCATCTTTAGCAAACAGTATCTTCAAACCAAAACTAGTTTTCAGTTGAACAAAGAAAGAAGATATATTCTGAATTTCAATAGCCCCTGAACATAGCAAAAGAAGAAGAAAAACAAAGTCACTGAAACCTAGCTTCCAGGTTTACCCATTAAGCAAAAAAAAAAAATTTGAAAATTCAGACATAAAATGAAAAACTATGCACAACCTCACCATCGGCCAAATATCCTTTCCCATTCTCTATCTTAGCTTATTTCCAGTAACAACACAAATCAGGAATTCCAGCTACTGTTGACATTTTAAAAATGTCACAGCTTTCTGCACCTGCTTCTGTTATCTAGAAACCATGCTTGCACCTCTCTTTGCTTGTTTGGTTGGTTTTTTTTTTCTATTTTAGAAGAAATCAAAGCAACTGCAAGCCTCTGGAAATGTGAAAGCAAGACAAGAAACCCCTTTTTTCTTAGTCTCCAGTGATATTACAAGAGTAAGTAACAGATTTCTGTAAAGTACATTGAATCTTTAGATAGCAGGTTCTCTCTTACCACTATTGACCTGACATCAGTATAGCTCCTTCCTTGGACTGTATGTGAACTGAGTCCCTATCAAATTCCCAGCCTTCCTTCCCAGCAAATCCATTATGTGAGGAAATGGAAATTTCACAGTCACAGCATTCATTTGCTACACATTGTTGGGCTACTTGCAGCTGAAGGCCTAAAGTGTATCTACCTTCATAAGCAGCCTCTACCATGCACACACATCCACAGATTCAAGAGAGGAAAACAAAATCCTTAAGGATGTCCTTAGGGAATCAGACTTACTAGATACACACAATTATCAAGAATGTGACACCAAAATACTTTTCATAGATTATATTTGTTGCAGACTGTGGAAAGAGACAAGAAAGTGAGTAGGGACTAATTCAAAAGAAATAAAACGAAGTTACCAATCAAATTATGAAGCAGAACTGTCAAGATAGAGCATAACTGAGCTATGAAGCTCATTGCCATAGGAAACTGTGAATGCCAAAAGCAGTACTGGGACTGGACAAATTCAATGAAGAAAAGACATAACTGCAATCACCAGCACAGGACTCCCTAAAATCTGTTTTGCAGAAGTCTGGGTAAGAACTTTACTCTCACTTAACTCTTTTAGAAAGAGACTAAAATTCCACTAACTGGTCACTGTGAATTTCAAAATTTAGCAATATCATTTCTACCTTCGGTGCTTAATTTTATAACATGCTTTTAAGGCTGGTTTATTTTACTATCCTTTCCAAAATGATGAAGTAACCTGTCTGAAATCACAACATAAGTTAGCAGTGAAATCAATATAAATCCCATGGAGCACATGGATTCTTTTCCATTCTAATTAGTCTAAAAAGCTTTAAACAAGCTAGACCTTAGCATCAAGATCTCTTCACTTCCTTTCTTTTTCTTACCTCTCTCCCCCTAAACACAAACAAAATGAGTGGAATTTCTAGGTACTCTGTAAGATAAGAAATGCAAAGAAATGAGGGCATAATGAAGAATTGTTTTATAGATGATAAAAGTAGATTTCTATAATTACTACTAATGTTCTAAGAAGTAAGAAATTCCATAAGAAATTATGTTTGAAGAAATTCCTTTTTCAAAGACTGATACTATTAAAAAGTTTTGGAGCATTTAAGAGACAGAATGTGAACTCTGGTAATATTTTTCTTCATGCACTTCTTACCATTGAGGTTAAAAACTTGGTTAGGGACAGCTTGGATTTGACCATGTCTTGTGAGAGTTACTTGTTTCCTCACGTCATCTTCAAGAACCAGTGTTATAGACTCAATGCAGGCATGGTCAAAGTTCTAAGGAGAAACAAGTTTCACCCGCAGAAACAGACAATGACATTAATATTACCATGGAAAACAGAACCAAACAAACAGGTGGGAAAAAAGCATGTAGAAAGGAAATATCAGAACTGTCATCAGGTAAATCAGTTGTAAACTATCACTCAAAGCATATAAACAAGGCACTCAAAATTGTATGTACAACATCATATAACATTGCTTATGCATAATCTTCATATGCTAGGAGAATGCATGTTAGGTATTATGGCAGTATTATAGAAAGTGGACAGAGGCCCCCCAGGTACTGATTCTGGGTTGAAAATTCCATACTTGCATGGCCACTTTGGGTACTGCTTATTGATGGGTTAACCATTGGTAGGGCAAGAGTCTGACCTGATCTAAATCAAGCTGCTGCAACCAGAGCACAAATGCAGCAACACAGGAGAAAGAAACTTTGGCACACATAAAATGTAGTGATGATCTCTGATTGCAGATAAAAAGGACATAAATTCTCCAGTATTATATTACAATAATTTATAAATATCTGACTATTGAAAAATTGTGACCTATAAACCATGTCACATGCATCATTTTAGTGTGCAATCCAGGCAGAATTTATGAACCTAAATACAGGACAAAAACCAACACCAAATTAGCCAAAACCAAGCATCTTTTGCTCCCCAGGGACACCTCTGTTTTCATCCAGAAACTTTTCAAGGTGCCTAGAGCTCTACAAAAGGTTATCACCAGTGGCAACCTTATTTTTCAGCGGCTACCTAACTAACCGTTTTATGCTTGAGGCCACCTGAAATGCCTCAAGCATGAAATGGTTGGTTAGGTAGCACCTGAAAAATAATAAAAATAACACCTATGCAGGAGAAGGAGGTGCTTACAAGAAAGGTAGAGAGGCACCAGATTGTAATCAAGCTTTTGAAAGAAGGACATGAGAGACCGTCCCAAAGTAGGGCATTGCTCCCTGCTGAAGTGTTCAGAAATCCCTGTCCTCAGCACATGGTCAGCTGTGAGTCACAGTCTCAAGGCCCCTTCTCCTGAGTCTAACAGCACCATTAAATCCACTCTCAAAGGTAAGGACTCTTTATAAGCACCTTTATTCCTAAAGTCTGTTGTTGAATGTCTGCCAAAATATTTTCAAACAAGTATGTGTGGGGCCTAGTCTCATAAAAGACATTGTTCCAACAAATTAAATATGTTATAACAAATCAAATAAAATCTAAAGCTACCAAAAAAAAAAATTCTTGCCTAAATAGTGATGTATTAAACCTACAGTTCTGCCAACAGCAGCTTTTCCAAAGCCTGACATCTGTTGGCACCATAACTAAAGGTGTTTATACAACTTTGATAAGCATAAATGAGTAACTCTTTAGACTTGATCCCTCTAAAGTTGCTATAGCTTTTACAAAGGGCAGTATAACATGTAGCAACACAAACAATAACAAAAAAAAAGCTGTAAGATGATTTCAGTTTATATTTTCTATGTAACATTACCAAGTAGTTTACAGTAGAATTTATAGAAGATTGCCTGAAATATGGACAGACCTGACTGTTTCAACATTTCAAAAAAAAATGTATCTTACCTGTCCACAAGGTGCTTTTTGTAAAGTGATTGTGAATTTGTTTTTTCCAGTGCCTTTTACCAAAATGTACTGGCAAATCCCAAGAAAGGTAAAATGGCGTCCATCAAATGTTGTGAAATGAGAGCTGCCTGTGATGGAGCACTCAGCTTGAGAGAAAAAGTATAAAGAATGTTCTCTTACATAAGAATGCATCATTATTCTGCAAATCATGTAAGAGAGGAGAAAAAAAGAAACTTTCTCACGATTTCTAAGTATACAACCCAGGCTAACTTTAATCTACCCAATAATAACGACATTTAGAAACAAATTACGCTAGAGACATCTATTTCCAACAGATACCATCTCATAAAGAACACATCCATGGGCAGCACCTTTTGGTTCTAACTAGGTGACGTGCCTGCGACTAAAATACAAAAGACTTTCCTCTTTACTACAATTCAGAAGTATCCTAGGATATTTTGTCTTTTTTTTCCAATGACTCAGTATAAAATAGGACCTCTTCTCCATCCTTCTAGGTATTATGGAACTGCTTGCTACCACAGGTATGAAGGGGATGCAGGTGTCATCAGGGCACACATTTTGGGGTTTTTTTCCAGTTCAAACCAGGAATGCACTGCTGAAGCAAATCTCCAGTTCATCCCCACTTACCACACTTTCATTCACACCATGGGATAACATCAGAGCATACAAACTAGATCCATTTTGGCTGCAGGAGGTGCTCTGTTGGAGCCCATCTAACCTGCTCCCATTACTAACAGCAGCTCTGTCCCTAGGACCAGGCCAAAGTAGTTGTAATAAACCCCTCATGTGCATACACAACACACACAAGACATAGGGAGTGCTTCTCATGGCAATTGTTTCACATTACAGATCCACACTGTCAAGCCTTGCTTAGCAACTGTTAAGCCTTATTACCTCATTCAAAGAGGGCTCCCTAATTTGTAAAAAAAAATCTTTCACAACCTTCATAATATAACCTTGTCTGAGGTACAGAACTATCAAGGGAGTTTCACCATCTGCCTGCTGCATGTTCCTCTGTGTGACTCATTACAGAGACATGCTATCTTTAAAGATAAGGATGATTATTCAAACATGAACTGCTATTACAAGAGACAAAATCCCAGCCCACAGCATCAGAATGATGTTTCTCCTATTACTTACGATAAAGTTGCACCTGAAAGTGAGGAGATACTTATACATGGCCTAGGTACTGCACAGGCAATAAAAATACACCATCTGTGGCAAATAACACTGAGCATAAACAAGAGATAGAAAACAAGAAGTGGATGTAGCACAGAGGTAGGGGAAGCACATGGGAAAAGGCAGGATGAGTATGATCAGGCAAATAACAGCTTCATTCCAGCTGGCCCACAGCTACTGTCAATATCCACCTGCTTAATCTTTTTTCCTAAACTGGCAGCCAAAAGCCTTGGATCATATACGGTTCTGGTGTCTTCAAAAAAGTTTATCATTTTTGTTATGAAATGAGAAAAGAGTAATGAAATACAAATACCTGGACAATCATGATCAGTGCAGTTCCAAATGCCACCAACACAAATACTAAAAAGGAAAATCACAAAACAGAGTAATAGTGTTCAGATTGTTAGCAAAATAAGTAGTTTTGAGTTAATTAATGTGCCTTGAATTCACACAGAATAGCCTGTATGTTTTAGTGATACACAGGCCTCAGACTGTAAAACATAAACAGTAACTATTGTTTAAAATTTGTGTGACTGTGTTAAACTAACTATGGACAGTAGTCCTTGAGAGATGAAACACACAGGCTTTCACATACCAGTCGCTACATTCTTGTTCAATTTTTGAGCCTACAGGGAAAGCAGTTCCATGATAAATACAAGGACAATTCGACAAAGAGATACAAGTTCCATTTTCCATAATGAGACCTGTTGGGAAAGAAGTTAATTAATGAGATATAAAACAAATTAACCAACCCCACATCACTGCTCTTCTCCCATCTGACTCAAACTTTCCAATCTCCCAGGAGATGATGTTATCAGTCTTAAACAAGGACCAGCAAAATCATTTGCCAAGTGAGTGCAGAGAGCTCAGAGCACCGCTCTCTAATAAGAATTGCCACTCTGTATTATTGCTTTATGAAAAATGTCTGCCTTAAGCATGTAAAACTGTACAGACTCAAAAATGAAAAGATTCTGAAATCTCACTATCTTTAGTCTGTCTAGAACTAGGATGGTTCATAGTCCAGTCAATAATTTTTGTCCCATACCGGTCTCAGAAACTTTGGTTTCTTGTACAGAGCATGACACATTCTGTTTAAGGAAAATTTCTATAAATTTTTGAATAATTCAAATAAAGTGGACTAAATCCTATTGTAGGAAGCACTAGTAACATCTCCAGATTTTAACTGATATTGCATGCTGAGACACCTTTGTATTCTAGATAAATGTTTATCACACAATAAAGGGAAGAATCACAGTAACAATAACAACATCTAAGGCAGAATTTACAATATTCATAATTTCCAGGTGTTAACTTTAACCACAGTCTATTTAGACATCATTGTGGTGTTGGATAGTAGTTCTACACGTATTTTTTGAAATAACATTCAATATTTACCATCTGGACAGTAACAGCCATCTAAACAGTGCAGATTGCTGCCAAGACAATCCTTTTCAAATGTGCAAGTTGGTGGACAACAGCTGATACAGTCACGGTGAACAAAGGTGTCTTCACACTTCTCAGCTAAAAAAAACCCCATGGTACACTGAACATTAGTGCAATTTCTCTTTCCATGCTAGAAAATCCATTTCTGTCAAATAAACATTGTGCAGCTCCTCTGGTATAGATAGGTAATCAGATCAAGTAAAACGGATCTTTTGCAGGAGTTTTAACTGATGAACTATGGTGAAGCTCTTGTCAATATTTAAGTCTCTCTTTAGCAAACCCTTATATTATCTCTCCAAAATAAGTTATAGCTTCTGTGACATTCAGTGGATGTTTTCATTCCTCAGCTAGTTCTAAGCCTTGTGTGTGAGGATGAGCTGCAATTGATGGGTGGTAGTGATAACAAGAAGGAGCTGGATTAACTACGTTAATTCTGTTATAGGGCCAAGAGAGGCTGAGAGGTCTTCTGGGACAAAGAGCAACAGCAAATCTCCACAGATGTTTGCTCTTTGTCCTAGAATATGATCAGCACACATGATTTTTCAAGAAATCCACAGAAACATTAATTTTGTATGGATCTAAATCATAGTACAATGGAATTAAAATATTCCTCGAGCAAGTCAATGACTTCATTGTTTGCCAGAAAGAGTGAAACTGGCTGATCAGCTTGAGTATCAGGTTTGAGTTCTACAAGGAAAAATATTGTCAAGATGGAATATTTGAACTGAATACATGGGATATCTCAAAGGTTCATGCTTTATTGAAGAGTCTTACTACAGGCAGGAAAGTCATCCCTCCAGTCCCGCACCGGGGACCCAGCGTGAGAACATGCTCTAGCGTACTCTGTCACTGCCCTGCAGTATGTTTCATCATCATCCACTCTGAAATGATACAATAAGAGAATAATCAAGGAACAGAAATCCCATCTAAAAATTTCTGCCATGTGACATGGCACAGGACATTTCACGCATAGCTGACACCACTCAGTCATAAAGGCACACAGGGAAAATATAAAAAGGAATGAGCTATACTGAATACACCATTGTGGTTTTATCATTTGATCTCACTAAAAGTTATTTCATTTTAATATTACAACAATGAACAAAACCACTAATCTATTATTTTTAAAAAGAGCTACTTAAAGTGAAAGAGAAACAGGACCTTTTCTTGAAGACAATGGACAACTCAACAGTCTCAAGATCCCCATCTCAGGCTTCTCTATCCTGCATGACATAGGAACTCTGACCTACACTTAAAAAGGGCATTCTGGTTCAAGTGAGAACTTCAAGTCTCCAATTGCCTTGAACTTAGATGAGAAGAAACCTATTATGGACTCCTGATCTTGTGCTGAACTTCTCAGAGGCAGAAGTATTATCCACTAAATACTGTGGACAGGCTCAGGGCAGCACAGCCTTGGGCAAAGACAAGATTTCTGCCTAGTCTATACAGAAGAAGCTGTACAGTGCATTTTTACCAGAATCAAATAAAAAGACATTCACTAATATGTAGGCAAGTTCAAATTTGATTCAGATTTAAGTCATATACGGTGAAATACCACTAAACTTCTGTTACTGTGAAAGTCGAACAACTCACAACATTCACTGTGGAAGATCTGATGCCAAAATCAACTAGTCATAACATGACATTTCTATTATAAGCATGTTTATGACAGATCAGCTGAGTTTGTCCCTTAGCACACCAGATCATGCTTCCAAAATTAATCGTCTTAAGAATATGTTGTATTGTGTTTGTATTCTGCTTTCAACACATCTATTATCAAATCAAACACCACTACACTCTTTGTTACAGTGATCAGAGTCTCTCCAACTCTCCTCATCTAATCCAATTAAATGGGTCTTAATAGAAAGAATACTTGGACTATACTATGGCCACACACAAAACCTTCATAAACTGACACTAAGCCACAAGAAGAGAGGTCTCTTTATAAACAAAATAAGCCTAAATTAATGAATTTCTGAGACATAGAAACTTCAAGGTTTTTAACATTCACAAAATTCACAGCAACATGCATCAGATTGTTCACAAAAAATCCAACCCTCCTTAACACCACAGCAGTGATTCAGTATCCTACTTGAAAAAAAAATGGCTTTCATTATTCTTCACAGTAAATTCCTGAGTTACACTGAGACCATACAGAGGCAACTCATCTCTTTTCTGAGCAACACCAGTGTTTTCCTACAAACACAAATTCTTCTATCTTGACTGTATGGTAAATCAGAAAACTAAACATTCATCAAAAATTGAACTAATAAGTTGTAATGGATTGTACTGAGGGATCCTTATGTTTAGTCTGGTGATCCTTTTTGTGTCCTTTTGATTAAACTGGTGATACTCTGAGAATTATATACTCTGGAAAAAATCCTGCTATTTCTGACTATTTGAAAACCTTACGAAAAAGAAAGTGGTACATTGCCCAATTATCTCTTCAATTACCAGAGTATAATTTTAACTTGAATGACTAGAATTAATTAGGATACCAGGTTGCCTACCATGCCAGCAGCTGAGGGGGTGTGACTCCCATCAAAGCAAACAAGTTCAATTTCTTTTGGCAGCTCTGAATTTAAGTAAATGGCACCATTTTGTAAAAATTCTACTCATTTGAATGATAGTGGTTACTCATAAAAACCAGTCCAGCTGTGTCTGACAAATGGCCCAACTCCTCCAGTATTGTTGATATTTCTTCCTAGTATCATCTCCACATAGTTCTGTTTCTGGGCCTCCAGATAAAAGTTTCTTGGGTTTTTTGTGATTAGCAACTCATTTTTGTCATGAGTGATTCTCCATGAATTTACCTTGCACTTACTTGTCTAGTGTTTCCTTGAATCTATGTAAGCCCTTAGCAATCAAAATATCCCTTGTCAGGCTGGTTCTGTGCCCTGTTCCCACACAAATCAAAAACCCTGAGAAACCCCATCTCTTTCATTTTGAACTTGGTTCTTCCCAACTTCCCACAATGTGCTTTCATTCTGGTCCCATACAAAAGACTGAGCATTCATTTCATGTGTCAAGATTAAATACACAAGAATTCAAGTACTTACCTGCAAAGATCATTCATACAACTTGAAATATAAGAATACGGATCTATACTTTCATGACAGCTGAGAAAAGGAAACTGTAGGAATATTTGGCACTTGAAGAATATGTCCTGTGCATTAAGGAGAATCAGTAAATGGAAGTTAGCCAATACTCTCTGAACAGGCATCATTCTCTTTAGCATTGTTTCCCTAGTCTAAGGTCCTTTATGTCCCCATTAAAATTTGAGCATGGTGCTGTCTCAATTTACTATTATATCTCTTTCATTATTCTTCCTAAAATTTTTCCTCTGTGCCTAAGCCTTCTTGACTGCATGCTGGTTCTAAACCACCTGTGGTGAAAAAGTGTGAAATGACAAAGAAAAGCATTTTGTGTCAATGCAGTAGCTGACCTGCAACTATTTCTGCAGTATTTCACAATCTCTAAAATAATGAGGTGCAAGATGCCAGAACTGGAAACTGAACCCAAGTTTGATGCAGTAATGAAGAGCTCTGCCAGCAGACTGGTGCCACTTGGCACATCCAATTTGAGCCTTTGTACTTTTAGGCTAAACGTATGAAGAATTTCAGGCACTCCCTAGCAACAGCCCTGATCTGAATCTTTCCCAAAGCTTCAATGCATCTAAGGCTTTTTCAACATTGTGTATATTGTTAGATTCTTGTACCATCAGTAGGCAGTGAAGATTAAGAAAATACATGTATACATATGCATGTATCGATGTATATACATAAAATATAATTAATTTACCTCAGTGGATTCTGCATTGGCTGAGCAAGGACTGGAAAAATCTGAGGCAGTAGGGACACAAGCTATATCATCTGAGGCTTGCACAGCCCAGCTATTTGCAAATTCAGCAATGTCTTCTGTATATTCCCCTACTGCATAAAAACATTGGGAGAACAACAATAAAAAATTGTCAACACAAACACATAAGACAGCTTTGAAAATTTTAGTAACTTTTCAATGTGTTCATTACCTCAATTACAGATGATTTCTGAGTACAAGTCATAAAGAAAAGAAATATTTTTCTTTTTTTATTTCAGGTTGCATTTTATACTACATTTAAATAAAAATATTGAAAAATTCATGACAAGGTGTCAGCTTGGGTTATTTTAAGCACAATCACTGATAATCTCATAGCAAATATACAAATAATGACAAGTGGAAGGCATTGAATACTTAAGAAAAATACATTTCTTTGAAGCAATTTAAGTCTTTCATCACGTTTCACAAAGGTCAGTTAGTGCTATTATGTCCCTCCTTTTCCCTTATTGCAGAAAAGCCCTACAACACACAGGCACAAGATGCCCGGCTCTCCTCACAGCATGAGCACAGGAGAATTAATGAACAAGAGGCATGACTGGAAGTCATGGCAACAGGCTTAGATACAGGAACATACAAGAAGGTTGGCAGTAAAAAAACAGACACAAAATTCCCATATACTTGCAGCAAGAACTAAATATTGCATTTTCTCTACATACTTTATTAGGTTAAAACCAGTATATTGCCTCTACTTTGAAGAACCTGACAGTAATTGTCTATGCTATGGCTAGGAGACAAGATATTGAAATGAAATCAGCTAGAGTGCTTTTTATTCACAGAGCTGCACTATAGAAAACTTAATCTAACTTCTAGAACAAGAGGTACAAAGTTGGATACTGAAATGTGGAAAGCCACAAAGCACACTAATGAGATACATATACTTGGATCTCCACAAATAAATGACTATAATATCCTAACCATCAGTCTGTTTTGCTTATGAGTGAGAGAGACTTAAAATATTTCTTCTGCTCTGGCAGAGTAGTTCTTTATGCAGAAAATCTTTCCCAAACACAAAAGGCTGGGGTTTAATCTAAAGATGAACCTGTTGTTATAGCTCTGATTCTACAAGAACATTAAAAATACTTTATGCACATTTTGACATGGCTTGAAAAAAACTTCTAAGTCTTAAAAAAAACCACATAATAAAATCATTGTCCTTGAAACAGTTCTGTACACAGATACAGTCCTTCATATTAAAGCAACACAAAGATGCTATTAAAGGTGAAGATAAGGAAACAAAAAATGAGTTTGTTTTTAAACTGTATTTAGAAATGGAGTATTATATGCCTTTCAGAAGCTTATTTATTTAAGCATAAAAAATAATGAGCATTTGGACTCTGGAAGACTCAGGATAGATGTAAGAGCTACCTTTACACTACTCAGGGAAGTAGTTTAGCTGGAAGAGAGAAATCATTATATCAAATGATTGATAAGATTTAGAAATTCTTAGAAAAATGTTGCAGCTTGGAAGGGATCTGAATTAGCAGTCTATTCTTGTGAAGACCTCTGCTTTGTATTTGCAGAGTCAAGGCACCATGTTATACAACTGGTTCAAGATTAAATTCATTTGGCTCTCAGTTGTTCACTGCAATAATGTTACCATTTGTGATAAAGAAAAATGCTAGACGAAATGAACATGGTGAAAAAAATTTAGTTTCAAAAATGAAGACAAGTATGAGCTGGAAATCTTTTATAACAGATAATGCATCTAAGGGTACTGAAATTATTGAATTGTAGATATCACATGAATTCATTGTTTCCTCCAAATATTATTTTTATCTATTATTACACATCAGCAAACTAAATTGGTTATTAAACATACTGTACTTGGGTGAGCAGAAGTTACTGCACAAAACTTACTGCTTTCACGGCAGAAAAGCTATGAAAAATGTATACTCGGGTAGATTTTTAAAGACTCTGCAAAGATACGTAGAGTGAGCATTCCTTCCTTAAGGAAGTTTTAAAGCTCCACTACCAACCATTAAAAAAAGGGAAAAAAGTTACTGTGGGATACCTTTTGTGACTTAAGAACATGCAGAGTCATGGGACTAGATTCTCTCAGCAGTTAATGATAACAGTAAGACAATCTTATTTTGTTTGTATAAGAGAGTGAGAAAAATCCTCACATTTTCAAGCCCGTTCTTGTTCCTTTTTTTTTTCCACATTAGTTGCAAGTAAGACAAAAGTTCCTGTGGAGTATTCCCTATCTAGGCTACGGAATAAAAGTTTAAAAAGTCATCTCTGCCTCAGACACAGCACAAAGCAGCTCCTCATTCTAGAGTGTAGTCCAAGGCCCTTAGTCCACCATACCAACAAGGGGATACAAGAACTCCCAGGAAACACCCTAGAAATTTATTTATTGCAACTAGGATTTTATGATGTTGCTTTAAGAGAATGACTCGAGATGGTGCTCTTCCCCTCCATCTTTAAACAGAGAAAACCATAAATATTTGTTTATGTATTTATTTTTTAAAGGCAATAGGATAAAGATACCCAAAGTGCTTTGCTGAGCAAGAGGTTTAAATGCACATACAAGTACTTTCCTGAACTAGGACCTTTTCCCTTTGCATCTTTAATGATGAGGAGAAGTAAAAGTAGAGCAGATATACTATTTTACTGAAATAACTGAAACAGGACTGACTTTTTACAGCATTCTATTTATACAGCATTGTTTTTAAAGTGAACATGGAAACTGTTCACACAAAGTAAGGGTAAGCTATTTACTTACTGTTTTGAAGTATCAGGTCATCATATTTATTGCCATTAAAATTTCCACAAAGGCCACAAGGTTTTCCCTTATGATCTTCTGTCAGCTTAATATAAATACCAGAGTTTCCATCCCAAGCAAGAGAAAAACCAAAGGTAGTCTTCACAAGAATATAGTCAGCCAGTCTCTCAATGAAAGCATTTCCAACTGTCTGAGGCAATATTAATCTGGAAAAATATAGTGTGCATCAAAGATGTCAGATGAGATGAGGTTCATGCTAGAAAAATACCACATAAAACATCACCTCTAATTCAACAAGCACTTTTTCCTGGGTGTGTACAGTCACTCCATTCAATTCTTCATCATGTTTTTACTATCTTATGTTTACTTCTCTATGTCAGCCATCAAGAATGAGTGCTTTCTACTGTATACACCTATCAGTTGTACCAATTATAGGCTTGAAAGAATAATGCATCTTTGCTTTCAAAGCCTGGCACACCACATTGAGGAATACTTGAGTTCATGAGCATGCTACTTTGGGCAAGAAACCACCAGCAGCCCTTCTGGGCACTGAGTCATCACTGGGTTAGACATCTGCAAAAGGAGGAGCTTGCAGTACAGAAAACACCGCTGACAAAAAAGTTGCACCTCTTCCTCCTTTGTTGAAAGACCACAATAATAAGCACAGATCTAATCCTAGTCTTCCAAAGTTGCTTCTGTTGGGTCGAACATATCACCAGAGGTACCATTCTCAGATAGTAAAGGCATTACAAAGGGGATGGCAAAAGCACCTCAACAACTTTCTTAAAATTTCTGTACTTTATCATTTAGTAAAATATACTTATTTTGTATAAAAGATGACTTAGACACATCTTTTTACTTACAAAAAGAAAGGTAAATTTGGAGGTTTGATGTACCTCAGAGATATTTTGTGGAGTTTTTTTCCCCAAAGGGGCTTAAGATTTTTTTTTAACCAATTCAGACTCATCTAGAAGACGATCATGTCTTATATTAGCCATAGCTACCAAGAATAAATAATGATTGACTTGTTCAAAATGCTATCAGAATGCACCAGGGATTAGCTGGGACTGCCTGACACAGACTTTGTCTGGAAGGAATAAATAATTGTTAGGTTACAGCTGAGAAGCTGAACACAGTCAATACAGTGTATTCTATCCTCACTCGTGTATTACATCAGTACTGTCACAGCTGCTCACACTAGAGCACTATCAGCCCAAATACAGAACAGCAAGGGATCAGTAAAGGTAGAGATCAAATTATTTTATCTGGATTGTGTAGGAGTCATCAGTTTCCCAAACTCCACTTTATCTTTTTCCCAATAAAATATTAAACCTCACCATTAGAACACTTACCTGATTCCATTTTTTCTTACTTCATGTCCTGAAATCATTACTTCTTCTTGGTTTGAAAAAAATAAGCTGATAGACCTATGACAAGTATATACTGAACCATAACAGTGAGGACTGTTATGAACCTTTGAGGGAAAAAATAGACACACAATAAGAGTCAATGCTTGTCTTCAATAATTTTGTACCATTTTTAATAAATTCATATATGATATTTTACGTTTTTATGCTCTAATTAATGAAAGAGCTTTAAAAATAAATACCTAGAATATTGCAAAGTCACAATTACAAAGATATGCAAAACTCAAAGTTCACACTACAGAATACTACTGAGAAATACAGAAACTGTTTAATAGTGCATATCATCACAGGCCAGTGGTCTAAATACTGGATAGAGTCAGGCATTTTACACTGACAAACTTCAGAGACACTGTAGTGAGCTAACTTACAGAGGCCAAAGGTGGAACTTGCTGCTGGCACTGAAGAAATACCCCTACTTCTCTGTGTCTAGAGATCTGATATATAAAACAGGATTACAAACCATACAGAACCTCAGTGTAATAGCAGCACTCTCCCTGCCAGCTGAGACTGGTACAAGCTGAACTACAGCATGCCCTCCTAAACCACTCAGGATTTCTAGAGGTTTTGAAGTGCTCCCACAGATTACAGCAGCCATCTAAGTTACATGGACCTGTTAAAATCCATTTTGCACTGGCTTTCCAGCCCTGCTAATGAAGAAAGGTAGACTTTTCTGAAGTGTGCTTTTCTCCATTATACATATGAGCCAGGGGATTGGCTTAGTCACATACCAACTTATCTTGCTCAAATACAGTACTCTCAGGACTTGAAAACTGTGGGTTTGTGCTTGAGCAAAACTTACACAATTTTCATTAATCTCAGGGAGAATGAGCCACCCAAACCTGTAGGATGTCCTAACGTGCTTCAAAAGCCCATGAGCTTATTTTAGCACCACTGAAGGGAGAGAGAAATGTGTTTTACATCTCAGATGCCTATCATTTCCCAGATTAAAATATACACAGAGTTTAGATTGCTCAGATATGATTTATGTTACTTTGTGTGTCATCATTCTCTGAGAAGGATGGGAATTTCATTACCAATTTACTTGACAGTGCTGTTAAGCTAAATAAACTTGTAATTGGGAACATTTTACCAACATAGTGATGGAGGCTGTAAATGTAACTGTTCTGAAGAAAATATCTGTGAGTAAACACATACAGTGCTCATGAATACTTGAATAAATCTTCCTTGACTGACACTAAATCTGGAAGTAAAAACCAGTAACTGTTTCTCTGGCTGAAATAAGCTAGGTCAGGAAAAGCATTTGGAGCTTTTACATGTATAAAGATAATCGTAATTAAAGACAACATAAAAGTTATTTGACCTGGCAAATGGCTTCTATGTAAGCCCATCCCAAGACAGAAACACAATAAAGGAAAATCAAAATAATCCTTATGTTTTCTTCTCCTCTTGAGGGGTTGATTATTAAAGCCAGAAGGACCATAATGTTAGGATTTGGCAAGGTTTTTGTCTCTCCATTGCCCAGTCTGTCTACAGTCTCACATTACTTATGACTTTGCTGAGTAAACATTTTCAGTTTTTAGTAAAACATAACATTTTTTCCAGCAATCGAATAGAACCTTCTCTCTTTCCAGAGCCACTGGAATCCACTGATATATTGATTCCAGATTTTAATATAATCCTGGACTTTGCTACAGCACTTTCTGAAAACCTTTAAGAGGTCACAGCTGCATATAGAATCCAAATAATTAAAATGAAATTGTGAAAGGCAGGTGTAACAGTGTCTCTCTGTAACTTGATTAGGAAGAAATGGCAGTTTTAATGGTAGATTTATCTTCACTAAGTGCTGTTATCTGAGGGAAGAAGAGGTCATCTGTTTATAAATGAAAAACAGTCCTCAGAGCAGAAATCAGCATCTAGATCTGCCCTCATGCCTACGACCACTGTACACACACAGGCTCAAAATGAGGACCCCTCTTGTCGTTTCTTCCCTGCCCAATCAGCACCAAATCCCAACCATTGTGAATAAGGTAATAGAATGATCTTGTATCCCCTCCCCACAGTAACCACCAGCCTGACAAAGAGGGTATAGGTCTCTCTTCAAAGAGGGTATAGGTTTGAACTCTCCATGACCCACAGTCATTAACCATGGATACTCAGCAATTTGAAGAAATTACTAAAAAGAGTGCCTTCCATACATAGGTCAAGTTGAAAGCTTTTGAGCAGTTAATCTTCTCTGCATGACGTAGAGGTAATCCAAAATTAGAATGCAAATCCACAGAGGGGACAAGATGGGGAGCAAATCCCATAGGCCAAGGAAACAGATCCTCATAGCATACCAATAGCTGTGAATTAGAGCCTAGCACATTCATGTTCCTCGCTATTAGGCAAGTGATAGCTGTTTGCACTTACTCAGCAACTCAGCAACTCAATATTTTTTTACAGCCTGGTAGCTGAAGTTTATTAAAGTTTCTGGGGTCTTGTTTAAGACCCACTTTAGCTCCCAGAAGGGAGAGAGCAGATATCCCATTAAGGATCGAAGGAGAAAGAAATACTATTTTTAATATACCGACTCCTTTGATTATAATTACATTAGTATTTTGAGTTACTGCATGTAAGTTTAGGCTTTTCCAGAAGTTTCCCATATTTCCAGAGTTTTATATTTAAGCAATTAATGCTCAGTTTGGTACATTTACTGTCTCTCTACTTATTTTTCTTACTTATTTACTTTTATGTTTACTTACATACTTACTTCTAATGTATGTTTACATACTTACCCCTAATGTATGTTTACATACTTACCCAAACAGTGTATTGGGGCTCCAGAGTACTGCAGTCTTTTGCAAATATATAGGAGCAATTCCCTGGGAAGTAGTAGTAGATGCCATCAAATGTTTCAAAATGATACTGTCCCCATGATTTGCAAATCCCATCTCGGTCCTTGCCAGTGTTAGGTACTGGAGAGAACACACTGAGTTTACAAGAAGCATGGTCATCAAAAACTAGCAAGTGCAAAAGATCAACTTACACCTTCAACTTTAAAGTCAGCACTCTTTTTTAGTCTTAAGTCTGCAGTTTTAGCCATGTGCAATCATAATTAAATTTTTATTTGCTTCAGTGGAGACATTTTAATTACAAGTAGAAGCAAGGGAGTTAGATATTCTGCACATCCTGGAAGACAATTCTTGCTGATCCCTACACACAGCAGATTCCAAAAACTAGTATTTAAATAATAGGTGATTTAATTTGCAATAAATCACTGCTTATTAAAAGAAATGCAGTGGTTTTTGGTTATTCAGCTAACTTAAAAAAAAAAAAAAAGCTGTCTGGCTACTAGACAATACTAGACAACAGTCTATCTGTTATGGTATCTATATATCATTACAGCCCAAGTGCAAAATGCAGGCATTTCTGATGTTGTTTTCTATATGTCCCTAATAATGCATATAATTTTAATCCTCCTAGCTACTGGCCAAATTAGAGGCCTGCTACAGAATAATCACAAATATGCTGGTAACAGTAATTTTTCAAAATCTGCATCCTAAATCTTCCTGAAAGCTGATACTAAACTATTTTGGCCCAAAAATCTTACCAATTTGGCACCTGCTTCCTTGAGCCTGAAATAACTGACAGTCACAGTCACCTCCCTCTGTGCAGGCTGCTCCATTAAGGCACTCCTGAGGACATGAACCTGCAAGGAAGCATTCCAGCCTTTTAGTAGATACAGTATTTTTCAAAGAGGTTGAGAGATCCCAGCCAAATTTTTTTATTGTTAAATCATGAGCCGCTATATTAGCTGAGAAAATTAACCAACCACTATCTCCATTTTTTAACATATGCTTAATTTAATCCTTCATGTTCCTTAGTTAAAAGAGAAGCAAGGTTCTCATTTGGTTTGAGACTTATAAACTAACAAAGGAGCAAAAGGTCAACCTCCTCCAAGCAAACAAAAGGTCAAGTTCCCATGTAAAGAAATCAAATCCCAGTCCTGCTGATCTCAAAATATACAGGACACAGATCATTCTAATTCCCTAAATTCAGCATAATTTATACATATATCCAGCTTCTCCCTCCTAAACCTTACTGCAAAGGGTACATTCAGTTTATGAACAGGCCAGAATATATATTTTAGAGTCAAAATCAGTCCTAAACAACCTTCCCCACATTCTAAAAAAAATAGTCAGCTAAAAGGTTATTTCTGCTTCAGAGGTGACTGGAGTCAGAGACTTTAGATTCCATGGGAATGGCTTGTTTTATGTTATAATTAGTAATTTTTTCCAAAAGCATTAAATGGTTTTATAGTCTCTGAAAGCTATGAACTCCTTGTCATTTTCTAATCATTCATTGAGTTGGGTTTAAATTATCATTCCCCAAAACTGGAGAAGAAAGCTAGTCCCAAAGCAAAACTTCACCAGCTTTTTGCAGAGAGTTGCTTGCCTTCTTGGAGTAGGATTAAAACTCTACATACATATAAAATTTCCAATGTTGCTGATGGGGATTAAAAAAGCATTGTACAAGGCAGGAAGTAAATGAAATTAACAGGTCCTTCCACTCCCAATGAGGCACAGCAAAGCTGCTAGTGACATTAAATGGGAAAAAAAAATGGGACCTTTACAGTAAAGGGACAAAGAAGCTACCAGTGGTTAGGAATATCATCCGTCATTGTGAAAATTCCTTTCCATGCTTAGCTTTGAATTTTTTCCATTTAAGAACTACTTTGCAAATATATATAGATACTCTGAAAATACCAACAAAGTAAAAACCATTGTTTCTATAACAGCCCTAATGGGGAAACCTTTTGCTGTTTTTAGAATTTTGAGTTGTAAAATTGCATATATTCATTTACACAGAAAAATGCAAAAGAAGGCACCTGGCTGGGCATTTCAATGCTTAAATCTGTACAGGAGCAGCTTCATGCTCATTTCCTGAGTATTCATTTCCCTTTGCACAACCAGTTATAAGACTCTCTGATACACCTACATCCTCTGACAAGGCCAGAAAAAAAGTAGCAGAAATTAAAAATCGTAATAAAACTAAACTTTAAAAAAACCCCACAAAATCTCAAAAGATTGGCTTCCTTAGCTCTCCAGACTTGGTTGTAAGGCCTTATTTTGAAAGTACCATTTTAACAGATTTTTTTTTTTTAATATTTAACATGGATAAAATGAGAAAATGAGACAGGAGAGAATTTTGTAGTGGCACGAAGAGGGCTTCCACAGCCCATGGTAACACAGAGGAGGAAGGCAGCACTTTCAGGCTTCTCTCCTCCTGCAGATGAGGGGCACAGCACTGACCTCCTGGTGGACTCCGCATCAGGGTCCCATGATGGTGCAACCGAGAGGCAGATTGAACCTGTCAGAAAAATATAAAAGCAAAATCAGGGTGTTTGCGGTTTAAAAATTAATTGATCAAACCTGAGGCCTTGCACTCAAACACTGGGTTGGAACTTTAAATACAGAAGAGTAATTTGCATCTCAGCCAGTGCATGGCACAGTTATGGGTGCTACTGGAGGGATTGGCAGCCTGGGAAGAAGAAACACAATGTCTTTTGAGGAGATTGGGGAAAGATACAGCTGGTATGTGAGATCACTACTGGCTTCTCATCCATGGCCTCCAGTTCCAGTGAATCACCAAGGTTCCACATGGGAAGTTTTGCATTTATGTTTGGAAGGAAAAGAAAAGGAGAGAGTGCAATCTCCCTTTTTCACTTCACTCAAATGCCCATTGTTGAAGGGCTCCCTCTATTGCTTCCACTCCCCTGACTCGTACTCCATGCTGCACTCAGATCATCCCATTATGGCCAGTCTAGCTGCAATGGATTTTGTGTTCTCCTTGACATCCTTCAGAATTGCATTTTGGTTCATCCCAAACAAAAGAGAAAGCAGATCTGCCTGATCTGCCTCCTGTTTAGAAACAGGGAGCCTCACACCATGAGGAAGCCCTGCATCTGGCCCAGCACTCTGATATTGCAGCTTGTCACATCACATTTTCCCTTCCAATGATCCTATTCCAGACTGCAAGTACTCTGGGGCTTCTGCCCCCACTAGACTGACTGGAAAGTTTACCAGGATTGAAGTGCTGAGCACTTAAATGTTTCCCACTTACGTTTATCCATGGCCAGTTTAAGTATCTTTCTTTATAAATGTGGTCCTTTTTGCTTAAATAGCTCTTCTTTCCTCTGTTTGTTATTTATTTCTTATCTGATGTTCTAAAAAAAACCAGTTACCTTTCTGCAGTTCCCACAGACTTAAGTGCCAGCCTTCAGCTGTACAACTAAGTAAAGAAATTTTTTTAGTCTTTGCTTGTAAACTAATTTCTTTCTTCTCTCCTGACTCCACTCATTCTCCACATCTCGAGTTTGAACTGATGGATCTCAAGTTAACAACAATGTGCAAGGAACATTTTAGAGTTAGTCTTGCCAAGGCCTCTCACAGCTCCCTTTTCCAAATGGAAATATGTTGTGGGATGCTTCCAAGTAGTAGAATCTGTTTAAAATCAAACTGAAACAGATTTCATTGAATCACCACCTGTAAGGCCCCCCGCACCAAAATGATCCCTGGTGCCCATGGTCCATTGCTAGGTGCATCCCTCCCTGCACAACAAGGCCCATTCCCATTTTTTCTGATAGAGACTCCAAGCCACCCGCCTCACAAAAGCTGCTTTTGGCCTTTGCACCATTTTGCAGAGTGTCCTTGGTGCAACAGCTCTTCCCTGCTGAGGGCCCTCCGAGGACCCCTCCAGCCCTGCTTCTCCCAGAGGCTCGGTTACCCTCAGGGCAGTGTTCCACAGCTGCCTTTGACTCCCTAGCAGCACACACATCTCAAAGGGTCTTGGAGAAAATCACCCTGGTTCAGCCTGCAGGCTCCCTGGGACACCCTGAGGCAGGACCGCCTCTGGCTTCCTGCCTACTCCCTTCAAAGAGGTTATAACCCCTGGCTGGGCTCCATAGCCCAAGTGTGGGGGAACAAGATTCCTCCATTTAGGATTGAATTTCAGCACAACATTGCTGGGGTGCAGCACTGAGGCAGCATGGGGCCAGGGTGATGGGAACCAGGGCTAGGCCGGAGCCACCGGGGGCACCATGTCCAGGAGGGAGCCTTGCCAGTGGTGCAGCCATTGTGCCTCTCACAAACACAAACATCTTTCCAGGTCCTGCTCACCCCCACAAAACACAGAGACGGCCTGGGTTTATTTCCCATGGTGTGTGTCAGTCGGCTTGGCAGGGTAGGTCCCTACTGGGTGCTTTGCTGAGGGAGAATGAAGGCATTAGGTCACGGCTCAGGTGGGGTGAGCAGGTGGGGAGTAGCTGCTCCTCCTCCTCACTGTCCTCCTGTTACCACAGCCCATCTCCCCACAAAGGGTCATTTGTAAGGATGGCAAAGGCCCAGAGCAGAAAGGGAGGAGGGTTTCCCCACCCTCCTGCTTTTGGAGGTATAACCTACCTCGGCTGTTACTAGATCTCTTTTCTGTTGAGTTGCATTAGACTCAGTTCTGGAAGAAAACAAAAAGGATCTTGTATTATCAAAGGTCCCTGGAGCAACCTGAATAAGCAAGTCCCCAGACAGAAGTGTTTCTCTCTGATTACCATCACTTTATCAAAGAGGTCTTTCTTGGGTTAACATTTAAAAAGGTGATTCTTTTTTTTTTTTTTGTTTTGACAGTGTCTCATTTTACAGAATTGGGCGGCATTCCAATCTCTGCTTGGACAGGGAGGTACCTGGGGCTTTGGGGAGACATAAATAGGCAAAACAGACTTACACAACAGGATACAAAATTGTAAACCAGCTTCATATTTGCTTCATGCTGCATGTCAGTGGCTACAAGTTCCCCAGAGTGTTGCTTGAATATACTCTGATGGTACTTTTGATAGCAAGAGTTGACTCTCCAGCTGGAGCCGACTTTAATTTGTGATTAAGTTTAGAAACTTAATCAAGCTATAAAACACACTTAGTTCTATCAACACTTCATGATGGCATATCATTTGACATGCCTGTGTGTCCGCTAGATGTATTAGAAGTCATAAGACACACAAAGCTATGTCCAACTTGATGCCTCCATTGAAAATGATGGCATAGATCCCATTTAATTCAATGGGATCAGGAACATTGCCTTGTTTGGGTTTTGTTTGGATTTCAGCTTCTATGTGAAAATTAGTATTGAAAATGTTTATTTTAAGGCTGTATAACACTTACTTTTCTGTGTTTCAAATAGCAGCTAGGATTTTATCATGCAGTTAAAACTGTAGATGGATACTCATTTAATGTATTTTTCCAGTCATGAAATCATGATCTCATGCTGTTTTCATTCCATTATTCCTCCTAGCTTTCTCAAGACCATAGAAGTATCATTTTTCATAAGTACCTCCATTTTTCAAATAGAGGACCCATGCCCATTATGTAAATACTTGGGAAAGAGTTGTAAACATTCTGAAAGTGTGTTCTACATCCAATCTACATGTAGATGACATTTTACACATTGAATTCAGGGTTATATTTTACTTTCTAACTTTCACTGCATTGCATTTGCTCATTCTTGTTCTGTTCGTAGGACTTGACAAATAAGGAATAAAAACTTACCTCAAAGATCTTCTCAAAAGAGGAAGCTTGCAATAAGATCCTGTAGATTAAAAAATCACAAAGTTAAACTTTTTTTTTTTACAGCATCACTCTGCCCTTGGCAAGCAATGTCAAGTTTAAAACAACATTATTGAATTTTAGGGTTTAAGAATCCTGAGTTTTCCAGAGCACTTTTGTAGAAACTCTATATCCAAGGAATGTAGGACTATATGCACTCCTTCCTAAGAATTTGATTCTCTCACACAGTCTTTACCTGCAGGTTTCATGGTTGTAGTTCCGGTACCTGCTACCATGAAGAAGTAAAAAGAGCTCATAGCTCTTTAGAGGCTCAGAACAAAAAAATAGAAGAGGTAAACAGGTAAAATAGAACAGGTATCCAGAGCTTTACAGAATCAAACCTCCAGGGTTATAATACTTTTCTGACTGGTGCTAGTAAGACTGAATTGTAAATAATTTCAAATGAGCCCATGCTTAAAACAAGCCAGCAAATAAACAAAACCAAACAAAACCACAAAAAACTTTTTTATATTATATTAGAAATATTTGTAATTGTAGCAAGGAAACTATATATAAGATCCAGTTGGATTATATAGAAAGTAAGATAATTTCTGTAACTAGAAGAGCAATTATTTACCCTAGCGGTCTAAAAACGTTTAAACAAACTTCAGGTGCAGTCTGTTCAAATAAAATCTTACCTTATTGAAAACCATTAAATACTACTCGTCTGACAATAATAGCAAGAAAGGCAAGAAAGTTAGACTTTGTTCATAAATAATTGTTTTCTAACAAATTCAGATGTAAAAAATGGCTCTTAAAAATAATTTATATTTTAGTTTCTGCACCTGTGAGAGAGAATGATGATATATACTTGTTTAAATTGCATTTACAAATTCCAGCAAGGTCAAAAAAAAAGATGGAAAAAATAACTAGTAATATTAAAATATTTAGAAAAATATTTGTAAAAATTAGGATTACCACAAAAAAAATAGAATAAAATTCTTACCTTGCAAAGTGGACAGCAGTGAATGAAGCAAGAATATACTCCACGGTATCATTAAACTGAGCTTTCCTACAATGTTCATTTCAGTATAAGTTGGAAAAAGGGAATTTATACAAATTAATGGCTTTGATTACAGGGCATCTTACAATTGTGTATTTCTACAGTGTGTTTAAATCCTTTAGAGGTTAGATAATTGGACTCATTACTTAAAATAATGCAATGTAGAAGAGGAAAAGAGCAGGAGACATCAAGCTTGGTAGCTACATACAGCTTCAGGAGCCTTGTGAGTGTTGCGTACAACTTCCTGGCTGCATGTCTCTCATTAGCAATGCATGGTAGCTCCTCAGCACAGTCTGTATTAGTTACACTTGCACCAGACCTGCGAGTATTACTCCCCTGTTGAGTTGAATTGGCCCTTTATAACACAGCAGACAATGACAGAAATGTTGCCATGTCATGGTGGTTTGAGATATCCTTCTGTCGTCACACACCTTTGTGTGCATTGAGGCTTGAGCTGAGGGCTATTCTCTACTCCTCAGTACAGCAACATTTTTTTGCAAGACCCTGAAATAATACCACTGTATAATTATAACTACATGGTTTTACATATTAACATAGTAATGTTTTTTCTCTCTCCTGAAAGGAGAGAGATGAACTTCTATTAAATAATACATCCAGCTTTTTAAGAATATTCTGGATGCCTTTCTGGGTATAGTTTGCTTATAGCACAAAAGAAGGCTTCTCAGAGGATAATTATATTTTGGTCTTAATAAATCATTTTATGAACACTTCGCATTAGGAAAAAGGAGAAAGAAGTCAACAGGGCCAAAGGGTTTAATTTCTAATTTTTATTAAAATATGAAATAATAATTTTACCAAAATTAAAAGTTATCATGTTTTAAAATAAAAGTATCTTACCTGCTTTACCATAATGTAAACAGAATCATCAGAAAGCACAGATTTAAAGACACTTATAATGCTATTTGAAATTGTTGCTGATACTTTCATTTTGCAAAACCTATCTTTTGCCTACCCTCCATTTTTCCTAGGAGGTGCTTTGTGAGACCTGAGCATGCTACAGAAGGTGTGGTTAGACCCAAAAAAATTTTAGAAGTTGATGACCTCTCTTGAGTAAAATGTTCTCCCATCCATCCTTCTAGCCCTTTCTCTTTCCTGCTCCCCAGATGGACACACAAATGAAAGCAAATGAAAACTCAGCCTCTCCAAGCATGGACAAAAACAAAACCTTGGGTCCACACAGCAGCCAACAGCACTGGTGAAGGTTTGGGATCACTGATGGCACAAGGGTACTTATTGGAAACTGATGCGTAACACTTTGCCCTGTGTGGAGTATTTAAGAACTATTTTATTTTTAAGAACTATGTTGGATCTGAGTTGACATTCCCGTCGTTGCACTTCAAGAGTTTTTTGCTTTGTTTTTACCTCTATGGGAGTAGCTATGGTCTATTCCCATGGATTGGCTGTTTGTCTGCAGCTGGACTGCATCTCTCAGCTCAGTTGGACCTGCAGTACGTGATCCAAAACCACTCCACACCACAAACAGAAGCAAAAAAAGTAAATTCCTAGGCCATATGGAAACATTGATATAGTCACTCACAGACTTTTCACTCTTATGTGAGAACTTATAGGAAATAGACTTTCCCCATCCCATAAATCTACTCTCAAGACTGCTGTCAAGATGACATGAAACCAAGCATTACATCTTCCAAATTCCACTACCAGTCTCTCTTACTGACAGTTATCTTACTGTCAAGCTAAGTCTGGTTTAGAAACTCTTGGAAACTCAAGCTCCTTTGAGAAATCTGATCTGGGATTCCTCACTTTCTCAAGAGTGTATTTCTCGTTATGCTTCATATGCAGTTTCACAACTAAATTATTGTAATATTAATAGAAATCAACTCTCTTGCTTTAACAGGAAAAAAAAGCTATCCAAAATAGCATCTATGTGAGTTTTGTTTGGTTTTGGGATTTCTTTTAACAATTTTTCTATAGCAAAGTTGTTATATGTAGTATTTCACAGTTGTTTAACTTTTAATATTTAAAAATAGGCCAAGCCTTATTATCTGCAAAGGAAATTTGTAAGAGTTAAAGCAATAGGCTTCATAAAGTTTAGACATCTCAGCCCAAGGCAAGGTAGGAAACAGCAAAGTCCCAAGCACATTAAGGATGTCAGCTAAGGAAAAAGAATTATTCAACCAAGTACTCTAAACTATAACTCAGAGGACTATATTAAGAAAGAGATTAAAAAATCAGACCAATGTATATCAAGTCAACAACACTTAATATCTACACAAGTATTAAAATACTAACTGACTGGCACTTCTGAAAAACTTGAAAAAAATGCAGAAAATAATTGCTTTTGTAAGAAAACAAGCACAATACAGAACACACTTGTCCCACACTCTAAAAATGCCAGTGTTACATTTTTAAGTTACAGATTTTTTCTTCAAAAATAAAATTTAAACATTTAAGCGGTAATATATTTGTACATTGAAGTCAAAATAAATTTTCTCCACATTTTCCAACATAATGTTTCAGAGGGATTAAATTTATATACAGATCACAATGTCCATCAGGATTATAAACAAAGGATAAGGAAATAACTGCCTTCTGTGCCATGGGCTGGCAAGCTTACCCTGGTTTGAAAGGAGGTCCACTGTCATTGTTAACAAAACATGGTATTTGCAATGAAGAATTCAATTTCGTTGTTAATTCAATTTTGTTGTGCACAGATGATCTTCCTAAGGATTAGCATTGGTGAAACTAATGAAAGAGCCAGATGATACGAGATGAGGGGCATTTCCTCTTTTCTGAGAACCACCTCCCCAGCTGCTCAAGAACCTTCCTAATGGTTTGAAGATCAAACTCTTACAATTTCTCCGGGGATGTGTTTCTCTGGCCAGAGTGGATGCTCAATGACAAGTGCTTGATTACCATCCCTGAAGAATCAGGACAGGAGGAGACATTTTTCAAACACCTTCAAACTTTACAATGGTTACAGTTTCCCAATGAAGTTAAGCCCTCTAGTGGGTGGTCAGTAAGCAACCTCTCAGAATAAAAATCTTCAGCCATCCAGGCAGACAGTCCAGCTCTACAAACATTTCTCATTTAGAAAGCGTGTGGGAATGACATCACTCTGCAGGATTAATGGGGAATTTTTATAGGATCAGAGTTCTGTTCAGAAAGCATTTTTCTTATGTTAAGTCTTCTGGTTGAAGAAACGGCATGCATCATTTCTGAATATATTAGTAGCAATGCAAGTTTTATTTTCACTCTTTCCACAAAAGACCAGCAAAACAATAATCCCCAATTGTTACAAGCTGTTCTGTTTGCAGAAAAAGGTTCATCAGGCTTCTTCATAACTGTGAAATCCACCCCTTAGGTTACCGTCATCAGGTATTCCATCTCCCCCTGCCTCATTAGGTTTCACACCACCACAACTTTGCTTCATGTCTTTTCCCCTCCATCCCACAGATCTAACAGCCAGACAAGAATCAGTTTTGGACAAGCCACAGCATAGGGTATGTATGTGCCAACTGGCAGGCCAGGAAGCAGCTCCTAAGCAATGAGTGAGCCATTGCTTTTCAGTCACACAGCCAAACAACTAGAGACTTTATTTTCCCTCAGCTGAAGCTAATTAACATCAAGACACAGGTTTTCACAAAACTCATAGGAATTCAAGCGATCAAACTCAAAGTTCGCTCTGCATAGCATCTTTTCTTTGGAAAACCAAGCCAGGAGGCTGAGCATGGCAGTTTTCAGCAGCCCAAGAGCTTAGAATGCAGGAAAGGGAGCCTGAGGAAAGCAGACCATGCATCTTGCCAGACAGGAGTCTGGGATGGAGTGTCCCATTTGCTTCGTGTAAAACCAAATAGTCCTGGTATGTAAATTGGTGATAGAACATACAAGTCTCCTTCGCTTCAACAGGAGCATGAGAGGTTTGAATACAAGCATTGCATTTCTATTCTAATCATGGAATGCAGTTACTTAGTGGCAGAAACTGACAGCTAAAATGGGGAGATGGATGCAGAATTCCTTTTTTAGAAGGATTTTTTTTGCTACACATTTAACTCTTCAGTAACTGTGAGGATACCTTTAATACTCTTCTACTGAAAAAGCAGAGAGCTCATGACAAGTGCTTAACATTAATAAAAAGCTGTAACCATCTGTTAATACTAAACTAGAGCAAAAGGGTGGATTTTACTATTCATTCCAATTCCCCAACACACAGGGGAAGCTGGTTTATGTTGACTGAGTACACTGAAAAAACATTTCCCATTAAGCGAATTAGAATAACATGCTAAGAGAAAAGCCCAACATTTAAAAATCTCAAGCCAAGGTGCTCCTATGACAATTCCAGTAATGCCACACAAGCATACATAGACATTAAAATAGCAGGCTTGGAGAGTAATGCAGCAGTAGCTGGGCTCTCAAAAATGTCTTTATCTCCAGTATTTCTTCCAGCTCCACTCCAATCTGCTTTACAGACACATGAAACAACAGCTCAGGGCTGTACTCACACTGGTTGGGTCAGTTTGTACCCACAGCCTCATTCCATTACTTGCATCTCTTCCAAAGGACAGAATGAGTCTTTGTAAGACTCCTGTTGGCCCATCCCACATTTACTCAGAATTTACTTTTTGTCCTTGGGTAAAAGGACAGGATCTGAAACTTCTACACTTGATATGCACATTCTGTAGCCAAATTTTGGAAAATTACTTTCCAACTCACTTTTTTCACCCTTTCTTCCTCCAAGGCTTTCAAACTGCCTCACCTAGCTCATAATATTAGGAGTTACTCCTCTCGGCTTGTACTGCGCAAACATATGGTTGAAGGACTAATCACTCAGACCTAATCTTAAAACATAAAATCCTTGATCTATATTTACAAAACACTCTAAGTATTTTAAGATTCCTACATTTAGATGTACTAGTCCAGAACTACTCAGTCTCTGCATTATCTGGTAATGCAAGAGCTCAACACACCTCCATCCCCTGCCGCCGTAATTATTTTGGTTTTGACAACGTTAACTACCAGAAGGGTAAAGACTGACATGGTCCA